AAGTCCACCACCAGCTCTTTGGTTTACCCTGTGTTGAGCTGTAAGTGGTTTCTGTCGCTGGATCGGGTCTCTGCACTCCTCCTCCCTATGATCTGTGATACAGCCGATAATGGAGGAGTCGTCCGAGAACGTCTGTAGGTTGTTGCTCCAGAGTTGGAACATTTATTACATATGAACCAGACGGGGGACAAATTAAAGGAAAAACCAACATAAAGTGTCTCAGTAAGGTGTCATGCCACCACTAGAACTTGATCCAAGTCTCTTGAACTCCACCGGAGGGATGAACAAGAGGTATTCCCTCACTTGGTGTTTTGATAATAGAGAGCGCTGTCTAACACGCTGGTCCAAAGTCTCACAAAGGTGTTTAACTGGGCTGAGATCTGGTGACTGAGAAGACATTTTCACCCTCATTTCTTTCTGTGGATGTGGGTTTTCATCCTGGAAGAGACCACTGCAGTCAGGATAGCAATGTTTCGTCATAGGATAAAGGTCCAGTACCTCTGTGACCCACAACATGCAGGCAGAATCAGATCTCCTATAGGGGTCAATCATTGTCTAGTAAGAGTAGACCAGTAGGTTTGGGGTTTTGCACACATGCATTCATCTTTATAATGAGGGGTTTATGCAATACAATACCTTACTTTAATATCCCTCTATCCAAATTAGAACAAACTGGGCTTGCGGCAGAGGATGACTGGATGTTAATTGCTTCACTGTACCAGGCTGTTGTGAAAGCTACTGCATGTTCCTCCACTCATTTATTCAGGATTTTGCTTCGTCACTCGTCTGTAAAATATTAACCAGGCTCTTGACACAATCGGAGAAACACCTCACTGGTTTAAGAAGGAGCATCTTATAATTAAAGTTGTGCTATTGCCTCTGAAGTCAACCCCTCCCTGACCCGGTCCCGGTCCCATCCTGTAGTTCCCGAGGTATTTTAACCAACCTGCAGGATAATGAAGCCCGATTTCAGGATGATGTCCTCAATCTCTTCAGCTCTGTGGATGGCATCCGGTTTAATAATGGCCAGTGTTCTCTCCACATAAATACGAGGGTATGAAGTTTGGTCCATCTTCCTCTGTGTGCTTCTTAAGTTACGATACTTTCTGTCAGCGGTTAACTAAACGTTTGACATTAAACATTACGTAACGTTAAACGTTGGTTGTTTAACGGCTGTAGAGAGCGGTTAGTAACCGACGTTCTTAATGTCTGTGTTTGGGTTGCTAGGATACCACGTTCACGGCGAGTCTACGGCAAGCGAAGCAGGTCAACCTGTACGAAACACTGGTGAGATGTCTCCAAATCAATAATTTACCGACTAAATTCACAGACATTAACACTCAGTCTAGTTTTCTAAGTGTTAAATAACCAGACTCTGTACATTTAATACAGATCAACATGCTAATAAATAAAGTGACCAAGAACCTTGTTTTAACAAAATGTTTTTAATAAACCCATAAAACTTTAATAATATATAATTTATATTTTGGGGATTATTGCTTCCTTGAGGTTAGGAATGAATGGTTGTTTCCCCCTGATGTTAACCAATTTGTGTGACATTCAAGAGAAAACCATGTTTAGTGTAATAAACATCTCATTGTATTTATTATAATCACTGATATCAGACACTGTTGAAACCAAGACGGCACACGTTTTCTTTAAACAGTCTTTTTATTCAAAGTTGCTTCAACGAAACGCTCTTATCGGGTTCCAATGGTGACCTGCCACACTCTGATCAGGTTGTCAGTGTAGCCAGCAAACAGGGTCTGTAAAGAAAGGGGGATAGATAAACACAGGTTACTCTTAATTCTGTCCATTTATAATCCTAGAGTTAGGCCAATAACATTAAACATAGTGTTTCTAGTTCCCCTCATATTTGCAGGACTGTCACCATTAGATATCAGAGTTAAAAGTGAATGGGTATAATCACCGGGGGTCAAACACTAAAAGCACCAACTAGTCATGTACTGAAAGGCCCTGCAGAGCAGAGTGTGTTGTACCTGTCCATCAGCAGACCAGGCCAGGGAAGTACACTGTGGGGGTTCAGCTTTGCTGTTTGTGCTGATCACTTCCTGTCTCAGCTCATCCACAATGATCTTGCCCTCCAGGTCCTGCATAAGAAGAAAACACCCGAGGCAGCGCAATCAGTAACAGCTCAGAAGTAGCAAAAGGATCAATGACAGACGTTAATTGACCTAAAGTTAATTACACACTGACCAAATTAGTCGAGGTTAAAGCTCAGAAACAGCCTCTTTATCATCAAAGAATACAGTTGGCATTGGAAGTTTCATCACCGCTCTTTGCATTGTAGGTTTAATGCACCATATACTGATTATAAAGATGTTTGGGGTGAAGTCTCTTACCCAGATCTTGATGCTGGGGCCAGTGGCAGCACACAGCCAGTAACGGTTGGGGCTGAAGCACAGAGCATTGATGGTGTCACCACTGTCCAGGGTGTAGAGGTGCTTGCCCTCATTCAGATCCCACAGCATGGCCTGGCCGTCCTGGATGCAAAGAGAAAAATATATGCTTAAACACCCACATTTATAAATATATAACGATAGTTAACCGCTTACAACTAGGGGGTTTGTGGATTTTAACAAATCTTCACACAGCGACCCTTTTAAGTGCAGGTAACACTCAGAAACAGCCTCTTTATCATCACAGTTAAACAGATGCATGTTAAGTTTTCCATCACTGCTGAAACCTGCAAGTTAGACTTAAACTGGTGCTTTAATTGAGCTCAGAATGGATGAGGAAAGACCAAAAACAATTGTGTAGCAATCCACAAAGAGAATACAAGTTTATTTCATACCCTTCCACCAGATGCACACAGGGAGCCATCAGGAGAGACGGTCACTGTGTTCAGGAAGCCAGTGTGGCCGATGTGGTTGGTCTTCAGTTTGCAGTTGGCCAGGTTCCACACCTAGGAGCAAAAGAAGAGAAGACTGTTTTACACCTCAGGTAGTACAATGATCATTATTATTATTATTAAGCTATATGGGCTCAACAAAACATCATCAGTGAGGTCAGGTAATACAAGCCAGATTTTTAAATCATTGGACAGGAAAACCATTTCATCCATGATATTATTGTCAGAGAATTTAAAAGGAGTTTTAAAAGACCAGTGTGTAGGATTTAGTGGCATCTAGCAGTGAAGTAGGAGATTGCAATTAACTACAAAGTATGAGAGGCCCTATCTGGAGCCCGTTTTTCTTCACAGAAGGCAATCTGCAGTGTCTACATAAAAGGGCTTTCTTAAAAATGTAACATAATAATTCCTATATTTAGGTTAGACACTAATGAAAACATACTTATGAATATTATATAACAGATCCTCCTAAATGTTTCACACTGGACCTTTAAAATTGTGCCTAACAGCTAATAACAAGGGAGTCTGCCACAAACATACCTTGACCATCTTGTCCCAGCCGCAGGAGACAATGATGGGGTTGCTGCTGTTAGGGGAGAAGCGCACGCAGGACACCCACTCAGAATGGCCCTCATCCTGTAAATTAAAAAGTACATATATATTCTCAGTGCAAGATTCTCTGGTTACCCAACATTGGTGATCCATTTATGACATTGTGTCTACATTGAAGTGTTGTGATTGGCTGCTTATGAGCAACAGGAAGCCTAAATTAAATACAGGTTCAAACCAACTACAGTAAATAAATGCATCATTTGTTGAATGATATTAAGATACGGCAATGCTGGACCCAACTGTTGAAGAACGTTCGTCTTGTAAAGGTAAAGTTTCCACTCACAGCTGCATGTTTCCTTTTGACAATGTGAACTGTATTTTAACAAATTACAAGCTTGTTTTTAACTAGAATGGACTGCAAAGTTCTAACATCAATTTACATGCAAATGCAAGGTCATTACCCAATAATTAAATCCACTAAAATCCAGTTTCACTGACAGAAAGACTGCTACTCACCTGGATGGTGTACTTGCAGACTCCCAGAGTGTTCCAGAGCTTGATGGTCTTGTCCCGGGAGCCAGACACAATCTGGCGGTTATCAGCAGAAAAGGCCACGCTCAAAACATCCTTAGTGTGCCCAACAAATTGCCGGGTGGTGGCACCACTGGGGAAACAAACATTTCACATAATCAAAACGGTTGCATATCTGAAAAAGCTGTGACAACCAATTTTCTGTGTTTACACTACAAACTTTAACAGAGGAGTATAAATGAGTAACGCTGGTTCTTCTGGGTCAAAAACAATAAAAATCATTCAACATTCTTGACTCAAATATACCACCATGACACTGTAGGACTCTTTTAGTTACTGACTTTGTGGCTCAGTGAGTTCAGCGCTGTGGATGCACATGCCAGCAAAAGAATGGATGAAAGACCAGGGTGGCAACAAATATTTATTTCTAAGTCACTGGACTTCTTTCTAAAGCTGAAAGGAAGATCTGTAAGATACTAAAATGTAACAGACTGTCCCATATACAAATTCCTTTGGGTAAGATAATGCAAGGATTTATAGATATAATTGATAAATGGTTCTTTATGAAGAAGAAAAGGTTTGTAGAGGTTCTTCATCTGCTTTAGATAGAGATATTACTCAGCCATATAAGTGAATCGTGACTCATCTATGTGAGCTCCATCAAGCTGCTGCAAAGTCAACTGGCCACAAAACTTAAGGCTGAGTTTGTATCAGATTAAACTACTGATGGTACGGAGAAATTCTCAACATGGACCGGGCGGAGCTGGGCTAATTGAGTCACAATTAATTGATGCTAAGACGGCTCATACGCTGTCATTTGTGATTCCTGTGGCATCAGTTCTAGATTAAGAGTTCAAAGTGAAACCACAAACCTACTTTTCACATGGTTACTTACAAAAATGACACTGACACAGTTGACACATACATGCAACCTCGTAGCAATGAAAATACTTCTCATGCCGGACACAAACGAACCATCTACAGTCAACGTGTAGAGGAAACAGCTCAGCACTCCCTGCACTTACGTGGTGAGGTCCCACAGGCGGAGGGTCCCGTCCCAGGCTCCTGACAGGGCGAACTGTCCATCTGAGGAGATCACAACATCACTTACAAAGTGAGAGTGACCCTTCAGGGAGCGCTGGGGGATGCCATAGTTGGTCTCATCACGGGTCAGCTTCCACATGATGATAGACTTGTCTGAAACAATAAAACAGTTTTATTCAACTGTGTGTGTCATCCAAAGAAAGAGCAGCCACATTTGGACATTACATGCCACCACTGTGTGTGTGCACTTCAAGGAGGAAAGCTGTCACACATTTAGTGAACACTCAGCAGGCTCAGTTTAATAAAGTCAGTGCATGTAGTTACACTTTCCCCTCCCTGTGTGTTATTACACGTGTGACAGCTGCAGTGTGGGGATCTAAAGACTGAAGCAGACACAGCGTTAGCTCTCTAGGCTAACCGGCTTCTTCCTCTGCAGTTACCGCAGGTTGTGTTAATAGACAAACTAAGGCATGAAATAAACACACAACATGCCTTCGTGGCTCTTTAAACACCTTTTACGTGCCGCTCACACCAGCACCGTCGTTTGTCGTCACGTTACAGCAGCTAAGCAATATGCTACGGTGGCCATGTTGGCGCAGCCGGCGGACGGAGCCTCACCTCGGGACGCAGACAGGATCATGTCGGGATATTGGGGCGTTGTGGCGATCTGGGTGACCCATCCACTGTGGCCCTTCAGGGTCCCCCTCACGGTCATCTGCTCGGTCATTTTGGCGAGGTTCGGTGGCGCCGTTCACAAGGATGGGTTCGGATTTTTCAGAGGTCCTGA